CTCCTAAAGAAAATGAGGTCAAGGGCCAATTATAACCAGAGTTCGGATGATCACTCCCGCACTCGGGGACTGCCATCCGAAAACAAACTCGAACAGATCGAGCTATTAAACATCGAGGGCATAAGACCTATTAGGCAACTCCCCGAATTTTAAAGGCCACTACCATACCCACTCGGGGACTGTTATCTTAGGCAAGCAGATAACTCGGGAAAGCAAGCCCACTAGGCGACGCCGGAACTAAAAGGCTATGACCATATTAACACGGCTCGGAGACTTTCGAGAACCGTAACAAAAAATAGGCCTTCAAAACCGGTTCTAAAGGCTACCCTCGACAAATTATAACCTAAGTTACTTACTTTGGGAGAAAGTTCCCGGTAATACCGAACCCCCAAAGACGCATCAAAATAGAATAATGTAAAGGCACGGTTTGTTCGAACTTACACAACCTAAGTTATTTTATGCTAAAGTATTCCGAACTTTGTGAATATAAGTAATAAAGCAAAGGAAAATTTTGAAAGCCAAAAGGGAAAGAAAGCCTTATATATATTTACCCAATAATCTTTTTACAAAGTCCAGAATGGCCTAATACAAAAATTTACAATGGCCGAAACAGCCTCAAAAAGATGCATAAGAAAGCAAAAAATAAAAACATATAAAGGCCTAAGTGGCCTGGTCTTCATCGGAGGCAGCATCTCTATCCTCGGGATCTTCCCCATCTTCAGACTCGCTTAAGCTCTTGGAGTCTTCCTCGGGAAAGGCCACCTTCCGGGCCCTGGCTTCTTCTGCTTTGGCATTTTCAATTTCAGCCAGTACATCAAAGTCTTGAGCATGAACTCCCTCAAGGGCTTCCCTTTGAGCTTACCACATTGCATGCTCCACCATACTTTTGGCCTGCATCTGAATCGCCTCTACGTTATCCTTATACTGGGCCACTTTAGCATAAGCCTCGGTCTTGGCCACGACCACCTCTGATTTGGCCTCATCAAGTTCATTGGTCAAGTTTGCTTTATCAGAAATAGCCGAGTCCAATTGAGATTGGAGCTCCTCGATTTTCTTGACATGTACCGGGGTATTCTATTTTGCAGCCCGAAGAATTGTCTTGGCTGACTCCAGTTGTGCTTGGACGACTTCTTTTTTCGAGGCTAAGATGTTCATATTTTTCTTGAACTCTTCAACCTCGACTTGTATTGTATCTACCTGTGCCTTGAGCTGCTCGATCTGTTCGAGCCTCTGCCGGACTTGCAAGATCTGATCGTTAGCCACTATGTCTAATTTGTCTTTACTATTGTAAAGTACCCGAATTACCCTTTGCCCATCTCGGTATGCTCCCTCCGAGTTGTTCTAACTTGGCCTGAAGCTTCTCTTTGAGAAGCTTGTAGGTGTCCCTCTTCTCAGTGAGATCCCGAACCTCGGCCTCGTGATGAGTTAATTCCTTCCGGTATCGGAGGAAAGTCTCATGGTGAAGCGTCGAAGCTTTCAAGCATAAAGAAAGGTGTTATGGTTATTTATAACTTTAAATTTAAAATATATAAGAAGAATGAGTCCCTGGTGGCTCCACAAGCAAGTTTGATTAATCCCCCTCGATAGAGTCGGGGACTATATAAACGCATAAGATGATCGAGGGTGAAGTAACACCCCTTGATTTTGCTTATAAAGAAATAAAGAAGGATCATTATCCTCCAAAAAGAGGGGTAGATTTGACTGAGGGTCACCTCGTACCTCTTACAAAAAGTGATGATGACCGGGTTTAAGGGACCCAACGTGAAAGGGTAAGTGTAAACACTTAAGAAACCCTCAATGCAGGTGGTGATTGATTCCTCAGGTGAAGGCACCACCACATGCTTATTGGCCCAGTTCCAGTCCTCCTTGAACTGGTCAAGAATATCTTCAGTGATCGAACATATGTATCTTGAGACCGGTTCACATCGACCCGGTACCCGGGAAGTTTTTTTGATCTTGTTATCAGCAGTGGTCCCGCACCCTCCAGGAACAAATTCATCAGGGTGTGGCTCTGCCGCAACCCTATTGTCGGCGGGCCGTGATGAAGAATTCTCCTCACGCTTTTTCCATCACGATTTTCTCTTACAACTGAAAGAGAATCTGAAGCAGGATCGGAAACGCTTAAAGTATAAATGAAAGGAGTGGAACAAAGTGTCGCTTCGGGAAACTGGCCTCCTTTTGTGGGACAGTCTTTGCGATTTTCTCCATTTTTAGAGCAGAGACGAAGAAGAAGAAGAAGAAGAAGAAGAAGAAGAAGAAGAAGAAGAAGAAGAAGAAGAAGAAGAAGAAGAAGTTGAGAAGGTGAGCGGTTTGCAGAAAGTTCAAGAAATTTGGGTATAAAGGTTGGAGAGTGAAAAGATTCTTGAAGAACAAAGATGGAAGAAGCTTTGGACATAAAGTTTGAATAAATGAAAATTGTGGTATTTATAAGCTGCTAACGGCGGTTAAAAACCGGTAGTGGCTGACAAGCAACTGACGCGCATTTAATGCCTTGGTAACTGGACCGACGGGATGTTTCAGTGACCGTTTGTCACTTATGTCATGGTCAATCGAAGCAGAGTTCGAGGTTCATGCCGTTTCTCGTCGTCCTCTCTCTGAAAAAATAAGGGGATTATTTATATACGGTCGAAACCGGGTTTACCTATTGTATGGCCAAACGAGACTGAAGCGTGATGGGACAATGTTCGATCTCAAGTTATATCGAACCGAGGTGCGAGATTGCATCGTTGGGCTCGTGACCCCGGGACCGAACAGAATCGAGACCAAACAAGATCAAAGGAAATTTGCCGAACCGAATAGCAAAGGGCCTAAATATCCGCGATTGGTTGAAAATCATGGCAGAAATCTCGGACGTATCAAGGAGAGGCCGAGTAATTAGCAAATCATAAGATTTTTTACCTTGTATAGAATTGTATCAAAACTAGGACACCCCTACTATATAAAGGGAGATCTGGTCATTTGTAACACACATTGAAATACGCAATACAGAGCAATTTATTGTTATTTTCTAGCTTTTAACACCTTGTTGTTCTCTTCTTGCATAAGAGGCATTTCTTGGCTCGAGGGTGATCGAACTCTAAGGCCAAGACTATTTAATTTGTGTGGTTTGCATTTATTGTCTTATCGTTAATATCAATATTAATCTCTCTTCTTTATTTGTGCCAACTTATATCACGTATCCTTAAAAGTGCGTATAAATTCAATTGTTATCCGTTTTTTTAAGGGTAAACACTCTTATTTTCCTTCTTCTTTATTATTTATTTTTTCTTATTGAATTAGTCGTTGAACTAGTATCTTTTAGGTTTCGTGTTTTTTTATTTTTATTGTTACAAAAAAGCACACATCGTAATCTTATTAGATCTTTAACATTTTTGAAATTTAATTATTCCATAATAATTCTATTCCAATGAATTTACTATGTTGTATAATTATCAGGCTATGTAATTAGTATCATAGTAATTATACAGCCTGATAATTACACCTGACTTCCAAACAGACTCTTAGAAAATTTATGATATGTGTCACAAGTTCAAATATCGGCTAAAGTGCGAACATAGAAAAGTTACGTTCATTATCTAGTTTTTTAAAGCATTGTCAGCAAACGGACTAATTTATGGACCGGCCTGTTTGTTGGCTATATATGGTTTCTTTTGTTTTCATTCTACTTTTTCCATTAGAGCAAATGTTTTTATTTATAAAACAAAAAATAAAATATTTGTTTTTATATATTCTTCCATTTTCTTATACGGCTGTCAAACTAATCTATCAACAATAAGTATTTAGACACTGTTTGATATGATTAAAATGTAATTTCTTAATGTTTGCTTGGACCTAAAGTTTTAAAAATGACCGGGTGCGCTGAAGTTGGAGACATAGGGATTAGGGGAGGGTATTTGGTGATAATTTACTGAACAAAGAGAAACAATAATGCTTACATGTCGATAGCAGCACGTTGTTAATTTGGAGCAAGAATACAGAAAATGGTAGTGAAAAATTGTCACACGTCCTTTTTCTAAGGGATAAAGAATTTTTTCAATTAAAGTGACATTATTTGAAATTGGATTATTTATTTAATTCAGAGTCGCCATTTGAGATAATTATTATGGCGTCTCAAGTTGCCGGTTTATTTTAAATCCCAAATCGAAAAAATTTGACTCTATTTAAAGTCCGCAAAAATCAGAAGACCGGGTAAAGAATTCTATTAACCTGGGAGAAGGTGTGAGGCACTCCCAGATTCCGTGATTTTAGCACGGTCGCTCAACTATTAATAATTGGCCCAATTATCTGATTTATTACATGCTTAAAACCTATTGTGCATTTTTAACCTTTAAACGCTTTTAATATTTATGGAATTTATTTAAATAAGTCATGATGTCGTGCACTTATTGTTTTGGTACACATTGTGAATCGCGTCACGTGAAACGCACCCGCAATTTAAAATATATTATTTTTAATTATTATTTGAAGTTAGGGTCGAGTCACGTGAAACACACACTCAAATTGGGGATTACGTATCATGACTATGCAACGGAAATCGTACTCATAGTTATGACTTATTTAATCGCGCCTAAAGCAAACTATGATATCCATAAATTCATTACCTATCTAAATTTTGTGTTCCATGTTGGTGTTCGAAGTTATCGCATGACTGTTGGAAATGATGTTTATATTAAACAAGCCCAGCAATATTTGAACCAAGTGGTTCTTTCTTTAAGGTTCTCTTACGTCTGGGTTTATCCGGACTAAGACTTCTTTCAAAGAACGTTAAATTTGTAAGGGGTAGGGACGTAGAAGCAGAATACTAATGTTCAAACAAATTCTTAAATTCAAGACTTCATATGAAAGGTTGTTCATTGTAGGAATATTTGGATGAGTGTATACAAGTAAAAGAAACGGATAATCAATTAATGAAATATTAGGTGAGGGGAAGGGGCGAAACAGTGCCTGTCATTTAATTCATATTCAAATCTCAATAAGTTATGTGCAAAATACAAGTGAGCTGGACTGGAATTCCAATTTTATATAACTCAATAAAAGATTATGGCCTCCATTGCAGACAATTACATAAACAGTCCCTTTGAAAATCAACTAATACACCTGCTTAGATACAGAGTTTTCCATACGAAACAAAAATCTAACACAACAAATATACAGAAAAGAAAATCGTTGACATTCAAAACTTCAAAAGAAGACTACCTAAACTCTGACATTTACAGTTCTGGCCACTTCAATCACAATTCTTAATAATTACTGCTTTCTAATGTATACAAAAGTCATTTACAATAACAACTAAACTAATGCATGATTTGATTAAATCTTCAGCTCAAAACTCCTTTCCCAGAGACGTTAAATCTCTTCCTTAGCTTTAGAGCTTACCAATCTAACCAACTAATGGTCAGATCTGCAAACTACAGCCAGGTAATCAGTAGCAAACAACTTTCACATCCTCAAATTAACACAAATATATATACTTCATATACAAAACACTATAGTAGAGCTCCTGTTAAACTACTGCCAAGTCTGCATGATCTAAACAACAACTTCAACCTTAAAACCAAAAAACATTTAATAATTGTTGCCTCATGCTACTCATAAATCGAACAAGAATAACAACGTTTCTGGAAGAAAGAAAAGAAAAGGAAAAGACAGCATGACATTCAAATAGCATGTTATATCAACTACTGAACATCAATAGACCATTTCCATTGTCTTAACACTCCAATCATTGCACAAATTAACAAAGATGAAAAAACTAAATTAGATTTAAGACTTTAAACAGGCTGAAAACTCCAAGAACATTGCAAGAGTATAACATAAACAATCCAACTTCATTTATAGTTCAAGTAAAACTAACAGGGTGGATAAACGCACCTTTTAGCAGAGAAACCACAACAAGAAAAACTAAGAGAAATCTGAACTTCACAAGTTGCAGCTCAACCAACAGCAGAAACAAAACGGCAGCAGGAACAATAACTTTTTTTTTTGGTTTTCTGGATTTAAATTGGAATTTTCAAAGTGTTTTTCTTTTGAGGAAAATAAATTCAGATGAGGGAGTATATTTGTATGCCTTTTTTTTTGCAGGAATTAATTAACGTGTGTGTGTGAGCGGGGTGTATAGTCTCTTTTATAGAGTGGGAGAGTGTATTAAGATAGACATGAGTGAGGTTTTAGAAGAGAATCTGTCAGCCCTCCCTAAAATTCAGTAAAATAGCATCTTTTTTGCTACTGAAATGGACAACTGTCCTATTTTCAGCATCTTTTCTAACAGTCGTGCCCTTTCGATATTTTTCTTTATATTTTAAGTTATGAAACTATCTCTTTTTACCCCAAATTTACCTAAATTCCCTTGTTCTTTTGCATTTTAAAACCTTCCATTCCATTCTAGAACCTTTTTAACAAATAACATCAAGATTCTTTTAAAAATAATTATCCAAGTGACCCCCTTTAGTCTTGTAAATCACAATTAACCATTAAACTCTGCCTGAGCTTTTAGCCAACATGCCCATGACCCAGGTTCGGCCAATTAATTCCCCCAACCTCGGTGACCTAATTGTTCTTAATGCTATATCACAATTATCAAACAAGTTCAAACTTAACATGGCAAACTAGATGAACAATTTCAGATTCAAGATAATCAACTAAACTAATCATGCATTTGGCTAATACGTAAAAAAAACATCAAATAGTGATTAACGGACTAGGCTAATTATGCAATACCTAAGATGAGAATTGATTAACGATTAACTAATCTTGTTATAAAAATAAAAAGAAACTGTGAAGAAGAAGACTAGGGACTACCTACTAAATGCAGTATGAGAGCCGGCCAAGATTGTAACAATTTGGACTTCTGGCCGATCAAAAGCAAATTGGCTGAACTCTGATGGCTTTGAAATGAGCCAAAACTAACACTAATCAATTGTTCTTGTTAAGAACAATTGACCAAGGTAAGTTTTAGGTCAAAACGAGTGAATTTGTTAAAGAATTAGAAAAGGAAAAAGTTAGGTTTCTAGGGTTTCTGAGATTTGAAATCCAAAGAGTTCTAGTGGGGATTGAGGGATGAGGCTAAGATGTTTGGAAAGAGGAGAATATAGGGATTGTAGGGTAAAATTTTGGAGTTATTTGGAGTGGTGCCGCCACCGTAAGGCGATTTCCGGCGGCGGTCTAAGGCTGAGGGTGAGAGAGGTAGATGAGAGAGGTCTGGGACAGGTCTCTAAGGTTTGGTGGGGTGTTTTGAGACAGTTATATGGGATGTGGGTGGTCAATTTCAGACCGTTAGATCATGAAGAAATCAAGGGCTAGGATCAAGCGTGACAAAACAGTGTCATTTGGCTTAAAAGGAACCTGGACCGAATTTTTGGAGGCCTGGGCTGGGCGATTGTGAAGTTTTTTGGGCAATTGGGCCATTGAAAATGCTTGGCCCAAAATCAGACTAAAACAAGACCTCTTTCTTTCCTTTGTTTTTCTTTCTTTTTCTTTGATTTTGAATTCTACAAAATTAATTAAAAATCCTAATTAAATCCTAACTTAATTCTAATTTGCAAAATTAACCTACCTACTATTATCAAATATTTTAAACAATTACTAACTTAGCACTAACGAAAGGAAATTATGAATTTAAAACTTGTTACACCTCCTTTTTACCGAGGGGGATATGGAGTTTTTCCAATTAAAGTGACATTAATAGAAATGAGATTACTTAATTGATTAGAGTCACCACTTGGGATAATAATATAGTGTCCCAAGTCACCGGTTTATTTTAAATCCCAAATCGAGGAAAGTTGACTTCGTTTACTGTCTGCGAAAACCAAAAGACCAGGTAAGAAATTTTGTTAACTCGGGAGAAGGTGTTAGGCATTTTCGGTTGTCGTGGTTTTAGCACGGTCGCTCAACAATTATTAGTTGGCCAAATTATTTGATTTATTACATATTTAAAAACCTATGTGCATTTTATTCCTTTTAACTGCTTTTAACATTTATGGAATTTGTTTAAACAAGTCCCGCTAGTCGCGCACTTGTTTGTTTTGTACATATCGCGAATCGCATCACGGGTACCAAGGTAGTTGCCCGATGTTCGCAACCCTGCTCTTCTCACTCTTGTATTCCTTAGATTGTTTTTAGTATATTTTCAGACTCTTCGTTGTATTCAGACCCTAGTAGATGCTCGTGACTTATGACACCTTGATGTCGGGCTTGTGTTATGTTTCTGCGCTGGTTATTTAGATCTTTATTTTGGGATTTCTTGTTAAATTAAATGGCTTAAAATGACTTTTATAGAAAAAATGGCTAATTTGGGAATTGTGTCAGCTGGCCTAGTTTCACGATAGACGCCATCACGACCGGGTCAGTTTTAGGGTCGTGTCAGGAGTCAACCATTTTTCTATAAAAGTCATTTTAAGCCATTTAATTTAACAAGAAATCTTATAATAAAGGTCTAAATAACCAGTACGGAAACATAACACAAGCCCGACATCGGGGTGTCAGCGGTCACGAGCATCTACTAAGGTCTGAATACAACGAAGAGTCTGAAAATATAATATAACAGACTAAGGAAGATAAGAGGGAGAGAGCAGGGCTGTGAACGTCGGGCAGCTACCTTGCTAACTCCGATGAATCTGCCACTGAGCAGTAAGAAAACACGTAAAACCACGTCATAACGCTACAACAAATATAGTGCGTTTCCAAAATAGTATGGAAATTATTTATTTCGTAAATCAAACTCAGTTTCAGTAAAAACCTTTTTCTTTAAAAAGAAAGAAAACTTCTTGCAATAGTTTCAAACGAGTGTTAAAAACAGTGAGTAAAAATGATAGAAACGTAAACAGCCTCTCGGGCAAAACCATGTACCATAAATCGCCTCTTGGGCATAATATTAACAGAACCAGCCCCTCGGGCTACCTCACAATCACTCGTAATCAGCCCCTCAGGCATAACACGAATCAAGAACCGCCCCTCGGGCAAAATATGGATCAAGAACAGCCCCTCGGGCAATAATATGAAACAACAATAGCCCCTTGGGCTACATCACCTCACTCAAACTGGGTACCTGTGCTCACTGGGGGTGTTTAGACTCCGGAAGTGCTCCTACAGCCCAAGCGCTATAAAAAGCCACCTCGTGGCATAATCAAATAAGTCATCGGCCTCATAACAAGCCACCTCATGGCATAACAAATCAGGCCCTCAGCCTCATAATCATGAATCAGTAACAACATGCTGCGACGCGCAGCCCGATCTCATAATATCCTCACAACACAGGCCCTCGGCCTCACTCAGTCAAAAATCTCTCAAGCCACTCGGGCAATAGTAAAACATGATGCTCAACCCAAAATATCATTTAAAATATCAAAAATAGAGTAAATACGATTGAGTTATGAAAACAATAAAGTACAGCATGACTGAGTATAGATATTAAGTCAAAACAGTAAAGAATAGTAGTAAAAAGCACCATAAGGGTCCAAAATAGTTGGCATGAGGCCGAAATATGCCATTCAGCCAAAATATGGTAATACTTTCCAAAACACAATGATATCAAACATTTTTCAATCAAATATGTGACTTAACAGTCGTACGGGACGGACCAAGTCACAATTCCCAACGGTAGACGACCCCACACTCGTCATCTTGCATGTGCGTCACCTCAAAGTAGCACAACAATGTGAAATTCGGGGCTTCATACCCTCAGGACAACATTTAAAATCATTACCTACCTCAATCCAGATGAAATTCTACTCCGCAATGCCCTCGCCGCTCGACTCGGCCTCCAAATGCTCCGAATCTAACCAAAATCAGTATATTATCATCAATATACGCTAAAGAAATGAATTCCCTATGAAAATTATCAAATTAGACCAAAAATCACGAATTTGGCTCAAACCCACCCCCCGGGCCCACGCTTTGGAATCCGACAAAACTCACAAAATCCGATAACTCATTTAACCACGAGTCCAACCATACCAAAATTACTAAATTCCAATAGCAACTCGGCCTCAAAATTTTCAAATCTTATTTTCAAATCCCTAGGTCCAAATCCCCAATTTACACCTCAAAAATATGTAATCTAGTTGGATTATTCGATGATAATTTAATATTATGGAGTAAAAATGATCACAAGTGACTTACCTCAATATTTCCCATAATTTCTTGCTCAAAAATCCCCCCAAGCCGTGTTCTTTCACCAAAAAAAGTCAAAATGAGCTAAAAAAAATAGAACAACATTAATAAACCCGATTCTGATTGCTAAAAGCTAATTTCCATCGCTAAAATTGGTCCAATCTGGCCGCTAAAGGTGCACACCAGTAGGGGTGGCAATTTGAGCCCAAACCCATCTAACTCGCCCAACTCACCCAGAGATTAATGGGTTGAGTTACAAATATTTTAGCTCATGGGTCAATTTGGGGTGAGCCCAAGTTAAACCATTATATTTTATAGCACATTCTGACCCATTAAGCTGCCTAAATACAACCCATGAAACTCACCCAAAACAAAAGGTATCTCAACTCAACTTATATAGAAATTTATTTAGTTGCCCCAATTTAATTCTTTTTATTTTCAATTTTATGTTCTTTTGTTTTTCTGCATCATCCACCCACCCTGCCTCCCCNGTAACCCATCTTGACCCAGGCCATCTTAGCCTAAGTACACTTTGAGCTGGGTTGGGCAATGATCCATTTATTGACCTAACTCATCTTGACCCGCCCAAATTCAGCTCAACCCGCCCATTTGCCACCCCTACTGACACCAGATCTAATGCACCAACAGTCTTTAATTTCACTAAAAACGCTCTAACTCCATCATACAAACTCGGAATTTGATGATTCTTGTTCCTATGAGTCACAAATAATGATACAAACATAGTCCTTCAATCAAAACTCAATTCTGAGCTCATTTGCTCTGTGCGATACCCATTTCGCTCGTTAAACAATTAACTCATTCGTGTCAAAAACCCAATCGCGACTTGATGAAATTAGACCAAACTTTTCAAATCACTCCTATAATTCATTATCAATATTCTGCAAGTCTCGAAATCAAATTTCGATCTCTAGAACTAAGAATGGATCTTTGGATCATTACATACTTATGCTCAAAACGCCAAAATCTTCCAGAAACTCTTCCAAAACTTATTTGAGCCTCATGGGACCCCGACCAAATATGCCAACACACCCCATAACATCATTCAAACTTTTTGCAACCTTCGGAATGCTCAAAACAACATCAAAACATTGAATCACCCTCAAATTCAAGCCTAAGAATTCCGAATTCGATCAAAAAGTCTATCAAACCTAGTCCGAATGACCTAAAATTTTGCACACATGTCACAAATGACACAACAGACCTACTCCAATATTCAGAATTCCACTCTGACCCCGATATCAAAATTTCCACTGCCGACCGAAAAATACCAAATTTTCAATTTTGCCTAATTTGAGCCTAAATCTACCACGGACCTCCAAAATACATTCCGGACGCGCTACCAAGTCCAAAATCACCTAACGGAGCTAACCAAATCATAGAAATCCAAATTCGAGATCTAATACTAAAAAGTCAAAATTTGGTCAAACCTTTCAAACTTAAAGCTTCAAAATAAGAATTGTTCTTCCAAATCTATTCCGATTATCCTGAAAATCAAAACCGACGATTTACATAAGTCATAATACGGGACACGGGGCTATTCATGTCCGAGAACTGGCGAGCGAAATGCAAAAGCTCAAAACGACCGGTCGGGTCATTACATCCTCCCCCACTTAAACATACGTTCGTCCTCGAACGTGCCCAGAGTTGTTCCGAAAACCATCAAATCGCTGTGTAACCTTACCATGCAATACCCCAAGGTGATCCCACGTAACCCTATCTCATATAGGTCTGATAACACAATGTAACTGATATTTCACAATCCAACCTAGCCCATAAACCTTAGAATCAAATTTTTACTTCTGAAATCATCTATAAAGCCAGAACCTCACATCTATACTCTAAATAAGTCCGAACAAGTAGTATCAACCATATCCATACCCAAGATGCAATTACATGATATACCACATAACTCAAACACTCATAGCGATAACTTCTAATCACATCAATTGCCCAAAATAACCGAATACCGATAATAAACCTCTTACCAATTAAAGTCTCATTCCAACACTTTCGTATACTGCCATTGATGAAAGAAACACGCAGAATCATAATCATTCCTCAGATCAAC